AGCCATGTGCCACCCCCACTTAAGTTTCACCTCTCTCAGTGCTAGCGCCAAAGCTCTGGCTTCCCCCAGGAGCCATGGCTTACCTGCTGTGCGAGAGCAGCTGCCAGAAGCTGAATGGCCTCAGCCTTGGCCTTAGCTCTGACCAACATGGCATTGGCTTCTCCTGCAATGAAGCACAGCAGAATGCACATCAGAACTGAGACAAAGCACTTGCAAGAACTACAGCAAGAAAATTTCGTTCATGCAAAGCCCCCTTTTAGATAACAATAACCCAGTGTTGTTCTACAACAACCTTCCTGCTTCCCCAGGCTGTGGAGGGGCCCCTAAGGCCTAGCAGAGAGAATGAGCAGCTGAGGAAGCCTGGCCCACAGCAATGCAGTCTGCTCTCAAGGAGAATCACCCCTCAGTACAGAGCAGTGCAGATCCTCCCCAGGCCCTAGTATTCAAGACATATTCCAATCCAAGGCACTACCAGCAGCTTTGTTGATTTGTTCGGCTTTCTCAGCTTCTGACGCCAAGATCTGGGCTTGCTTCTGCCCCTCAGCCACGTTGATAGCAGACTCCCGCGTCCCCTCTGATTCCAGCACTGTTGCCCGCTTCCGTCGCTCTGCCTCCACCTGCAAAGACAGGAGCTGAGGCTGAATCTGGCAGGCAGCTCCGCACCACACTGCCATTCGCTCACTGCTCAGCTCCCAGTGGGACAGGGGAGAGAATCACAGAAAAAGGAAGAAGTATAGAATCATAGAATCATAGAATCATAGAATCACCAAGGTTGGAAAAGACCTAAAAGATCACCCAGTCCAACCGTTCACCTATTCCCAACAGCTCCCACTAAACCATGTCCCTCAACACAACATCCAGTCTTTCCTTGAACACCTCCAGGCTCGGTGATTCCACCACCTCCCTGGGCAGTCCGTTCCAGTGCCTGACCACCCTTTCTGAAAAGTAATACTTCCTAATGTCCAGCCTGAATCTCCCCTGCCTTCTTTATAAAGATAAAAGCTATTTAGTAAGACAGCGAAGGGAGAGAGAAGTAACACTAATGATAATTATATACACATGCACAGTTTTACAAAATGAGAGATTCACAAAGCAATCGCACACCTCCCACTGACTGATGCCCAGGCAATCCCCTAGCTACCTCCCCAAAGTTTTTTTAGTTTTTTCACCTATCATAGGGTATCAAACATTGCTTTGACCAGTTTAGGTCAGCTATCCCTGTACTGCCTTCTCCCAGCACCCCGCTGGGAAGGGCAGTATGAGAAGCTGACCAATAAATGCCCTTGATTCTGTACAGTGTTGCTGAGCAACTAAATCATTGGTGTGTTATCAACATTGCTTTTTTCTTCTAGAGCCAAATTACAGCACCACGCCAAGCATCGCAGAGGAAATGAACTGTGTCCTACATAAAAGCAGGACAACAGGTCAGCAGCCCACCTGCCACAATGCTATGACGGAACACCACCCACAGGGAGAGGACAGCAAAGACACATTCCTAACATTCCACTTGGACAAGCATGGCTTAGCACAGGGCAAGAAGATGGCTGCAAAACGTTAAGAGATCCCCAGTGTGGGCTGGTTCTCCTTCTTGGGATTTTAAAGGGAGCCAGCAGAGCTTGTGTGTACCAGGCAGAGACCTCCACTGCAGGAATAAGGATCAGATTTACTCAATAGCTGTGCATTTGCAGCCAAAGTGCCAAAAGGCTTCCTCCCCTGCAGGACAGCCCAGTGCTGTAAGCTCTGGATGGAGAACAGTGGTGCTGAATGGAAAGGGTGGCTTATGTCTCATTCCACACTGTTCACCCAGAGAGCCAAACCTGCATCTGCATAGATTCCTTCACACGCGGGGGCACGTGTATGTCCTTAATCTCATAACGTAGACACCGGATACCCCAGCAGTCTGAGGCTTGGTTGATGGCATCCACTATGTTGGCATTGAGGGATTCACGTTCCTGGAAGGTACAGATGAAACAGTAGAGAAAAAAGAGGATACAGAGATCAGAAGGGATGCAGACACGCCCCCTGTGGGCCAACATTAGCCAGAAAAGCCCTACTTCAGGAGTCAAAGGCAGGGCTAGATGATCCCACTATCTCTTAAGGTCACATTCTCCCAATGAGGGCAGTGACTAAAATCAAAATTGCTGATACACTGCTGTACATCAGTGTACAACTGGATACAAAGATCTTTCCCAGGAATGCAAACAGTTCCTCAGACCACCAAAAAAAAAAAAAAAAAAAGCAGCATGGGGGTTACAGCCCACTTGAACATGGTCAGCGTGACACTCATCTTGGGCTTGAGCAAAATGTTGATGATTTGAGAGAAACAGAACTGCACCATCCAGGTCAGGACACAGGGCACAAAAATAACTGATGCAAGACACATCTCCAAGGATCCACAAACAGGCTGAGACAAACAGAAGCCAGAAGCTCTCTAAATAAAATGCATTTTGGTATTAAATGTATCAGCCTGGATGCACAGAACCCGCAGGGTTTCGAGAAGCTGTCAGATACTGGCAGCTCCAGTATCCACCTCCCCAACTCACCCGGAAGACTCTATCAAGGGAAAGTTTGCCAAGTTCAGATCTCATCGTGGTCTGGGCCAATTGGGTCACAGCATACTCGGGATCCTCCACCCCGTAGCTTGCCTGGGAAACAGAAGCAAAATGTACAAAGTCTGTGGTAATGCTGAAAGGGACCTCAGGAGAGGCAGAGTGGGTAAACCTAGCGCTAAGATGAAAGATCTGCTGCAGACATGCTTGCTGAGCTCCTCTTCCCAGAGAGCAGCCCCAGGGAAAGGGGCCACCCACCCGCATAGCACATAAAGGATGGAGCACGTGTTTCAGAGTAAGGTGAGATGGGAGAGGCCAGTAAATTGTGCATGAGGGGCTGCCATGGTGGCCAGCACGCTGAGGCTGCACAGAGCCCACTAGGCACAGCCAGAGCTGCAGGCTGCCTCATGCCTTCAGGTTGAAGCTTAGCCTCAGCATAGCAGGGATGGTACCTTGTAGGGATCCATGACACGCAGGTAGAGCACTCCATCAATCTGCAGGGTGACATTATCTGCCAGGAGAGAATGACACATTCTGTTTATCAAAGCAAATGCATGGCACCTCCTCTGAGAGAATTAGCAGAGCTGTGAAAGGTGGTCCCTTTCCTGCTTTAGCATGGCAGGTGTTGGCCCTTGGAGGCAGTGAAATTGCTTTTGATAAATTCTTTGCAATACCAGGCAGTGTTATTAGGAACGTCAATGATCATAGATAGGAAGAAGTTAACCCATCTGATGGTGACATAGCTTCTGACTACAGAACACCCATTCTCAGGGAGGGGCCTTCATCCAGGAAACGCTCTCGCCGTGGAGGCCAGTCCTTGAATGAGCCAGGGAGGAGTCCACTCCTTATGGTCACGTGGAAAGCAAAGGTGAACTGCTTGCATCCGTGCTTCCTGGGCCAATGCTTCACCAGGTGCTCAATCATCAGTTCAGGTCATGACATAACAGTTTCCTAACAGCTGGATTAGCAGAAATACAGATCCTTGTGCAAAAAGGGCTCCTACATCCTCTACAAAGTGCCTTATTTTTACAAAAGAAATCTCAGGCCTTGATATCAAGATGTTTCATGCTATAGTGATGCTAACAGATAAAAGTTTAAATGAGAAATAAACAGGATGCTTAACACTAGAATTTTAACTAACGTGCCCACCAACCTGACCTGAAATATCTGTATGACACAAAAACATGGGAAGATCTTCCTAGTTGAAAATGGAAAAACATATAAATTCTGAGAAACTGATCCCTTTCTGTGATGAACAGATCAAGGCAGTAGTGGAGCAGCCCAGACAGACTGACAGGGTTCTCCTGGTCACACTGCCACGGGTATGGGCAAGCCTGGATCCCCAGGACAGGGCCGAGTGCAGGAGCCTGTGACATTTCTGACCACACTGCCCCTCACTCACCCTGCACGCAAGGGAAGGGACAGGAGACAGAAGCCCTTCTTACCTAGGGTGACAGCTGACTGCTCTGGGACATTGATGACGATTTCTTTGAGACTCTGCACATAACGTATCCGATCCAGCAGAGGGATGAGGAAATTCAAACCCTGCGACAAAGGTGCGATTGGACAGCTGAGCCCTGAAGCCAGGCAAGGGTTTTCCCACCCAGACAGCTCAGAACAGAGGGAAGTACAAACGAACCCCAAGCACGACGTGCTCCCATTGCTGCCAGTAAGTTTACTTCACACACGAGGGAGCTTAAATTACCTAATGCCATAACACCCCTCTACAGGAAATTCGTCTACAGGCAGTTTTAAAAGGATCGCAGTCGGTACGAACAAGCACAGGCACTCGCACCATCCCCTCAATCCGCGCACAACACACGTGCTCGCTACCGCTCTAGGAACCTGCGGAATCCAGGAGGGGAGAAAAGCGGCTCCTTACAGGCTCGAGGATGCGGTGGAACTTGCCCATCCTCTCCACCACCCAGGCCTCCTGCTGCGGCACGAACAGCACGCCGATATTGACGGGTAGCCCGGAGTTCAGCCGCTGCGGGGCCGGGGCCAGCCACGCCGGGCGCTTCAGCACTGGTGCTCGCTGCGGAAAGGAAAGGCACGGAATGGGGCCGGCGCTCCGCACGCCTCTCATCCCCCGCCGGGCTGCCGGCCTCCATCCGCCCCGCGCGGCGAGAGGACCGGGCTGCGATCCGGGGCTCCCTGCGGCCGCACACGGAGCTCAAGCCGGCCGAGGTCGCCGCCCCGCTCCCCTCGGACCCCAACCCGCTGCGGGACGCTCTGAATCCCGAACCCCGCGGTCCCCGCACCCGCAGCAGCCCAGGCCCGGCTCGCCGCGCCGCCTGCGCCAGCATCGCGCCGCTCCCCGCCCGCCGCCCCGGAATGCTCTCCGCGCCGCCCCGCCCCTTCCGGGAGAGCCGCCCGTTTCCTCCTCCCGGCCCGGCCCGACCCGGCCGCCTCGCCCCATGGTTCCGCGATGCCCGAGGTCGGAGGTCCGGGTTACGTTTCCAAACGTTTATTAAATAAAAACCAACACAGAAGTACCGCTACTGCGCTCCGGGCGGGGCCCCAGCACGGAGTGCCGCGGGGCGAACCCCCGGCCCTGGGGTGCCGCAGGGAGAGGCCAGCGGGGTTCTGGGGCGAAGGGCAGGGGCAGCTCCTCACCTGGCCCTCACGGGCCCCCTGGGAGGGGGGGGTTCCACCCGGCCCCTGAAGGGCCACAGCCCCCGCTCCGTGTCATTCCGGCCAGTGGCTGGCGCCCTGCGCGGAGCCGCGCCCCGATACGCACGCACAGTGATGTTTCAGCCACGTGGAGTTGATGCCCCCTCTCGGCCAACCCTCCAGGCTCGTCCTTCGCCCCTGCCCTCACCCCCATCACCCCGGCTGTCCCCTGCCAGGAACCATATCTCCAACACCTCTGCACCCCTATGACAATAAATACTAATAAATACAAACTTCTGAACTTTCTGCTCCCAACCCACGGCCGGGCGCAGGTTGGGAGGAGCCCTCCCCCTCAGCTCCAGCCACACCTCCCAGCTTGCAAAAGTCCTGGGCACAGCCCCAGAGTGCTCCCCAGCCCTTGCCCCTCCTCATAAATCCCCTTTGGTGATGCCAGCTCTGTCCCAGGGCACAGCTGTGACATCAGTGCTGCTCAGGAGGATGGGTGCGTAGGGCTGGGGACACTTCCAGGTGGCTGCGCTTGGTCTCTCTTTTACTCAATGATCCCCAAAGCACTGGGCTGGGCACTGCTCGGTGGCCCTGAGCAAGGGAGAAGGTCAGGGCCAGGGTGAGTAGCGAGGGTTTCTTGGCATCTCCGTGAAGGATTTTAGTTCATATGGGATCCCCGAGTCGACCTCAATCGACTTGCGTGAGAAAAGCAGCCGGATGTTGTCGTGAAGGTAGATCTTCCCAGACTTGGAGCTGTGAAATCTGAGAGAAGGATGAAGGAATTTTAGGCGTGCACACAAGTGCCAGGACAGCCTAACTGACAGCAGGGGACACAGCTCCCTTCCCTTCTGTGGCCCCTGATCAAGGTAGCCACATTCCGGTTGCCTTTGGAGGGATAAAACCCACTGCCCTTGGGCAGAACAGCAGCTTCCACCTCCTTGCAGCCCATCAGTGCAACAGAGGCTGGTCCCTGCTCCTCCTCACAGCTGCAGGGTCAGGCTGCCGTGTTCCTAGACCACCAGGTCTACAGATTTGGAGAAGGAAACATAGGGAAAAGGGGTCTGGGAGCCCAGGGTACTCGTGGGCAGGTCCCCATCCCACCCAGTATTCCTACCTCAGGTGCATCAGGTAGCAGAGGACCCTGCGGGGTGGGTCGGTGCCTGGTGGCTCACTGCAGGACACAGTGGCCCCCTTCTCTTTCCCCACAGGCACCAGGAAAATGCGGTGGCGTAGGAAGGTCATGTGATTGGCAGGCATGTCCTGGAAGTCGTACGTCACCAAGAACATCTTCACCACAGTCTTGTTGGGGTTAAATAAGGTCTGCGGGTAGAGGATGGATGGGTAGTGGTCAGACAAGGTAGGTACTGCTGGGGCATCTGGCCCCATGTCAGTCCCAGGGGGTTTTGCATGAGGCTCAGCTCTTGCCCAGACCATAAAATCCAGCAAGTGTTGCTCAGAGACCCAGCCAACACAAGTAAGTCATGTCCACCCAACTCCACTCTTGTGCTCCCATCCCATCGTCACTGCACATATACAGTCTCCTGCTGGGGACCCCACTAGCCTTGACCTTCCCCAGATCTCCTGTCCCTGTGTCTCACAGCAAGCACCCTGGGGGGTCCCATGCTTCCTCCACCATGCTTTTTTGTGTGCGTGCAAACTCTTGATAGAAACAGAAAAATTCGATGCCCCATTTTTGGAAGCATTCAAGGCCAGGCTGGATGAAGCTTTGGGAAGCCTACTCTGGTGGGAGATGTCCCTGCCCCACAGCAGTGGTTTGGAACTAGATGATCCCTTCCCAAGGAAGACATTCTACGACTGTGTGATAATGCAGCATGTCCACTTCGAGAAGCCACAGGAGTCCACTCACCACTTGGATGGTTCCAGCTTTAGGAACACTGTAACCCTTCTTTCCCAAGGCTTCCAAGTCAATCACTCCCTGGGGCAAAAGAAACAGCATGTGTGAGGAGAAATGTATTGTCCAGATGGGACCTGGCAGTGCCGAGATCCCATTTCTTCTTTGCTTTGCAAGTTAAATGGTAGTGTCCTCAGATGTCTAGTTGCTTGAGCCGTGCTTTCCAGAGACACGCAGCCCCCCGATTAGAGAACATGCAGCGTCTGGACACAGCCCCCAGTCACCTCCCCCACAGTCCCAGCCCACCCGTGTACCAGGAAAGGCGAGGGCGCGCTGTGCTCGGAGATGTCGAAGTAGGTGACATCCACGGGCAGGGTGACATGCTGCGGGCAGTAGGAGCCGCTGGCACCGATCTCTGCGGTGAACCCCTCGATGCGCCCCGATGGTGCAAAGCGCCCTTTCAGGATGGACTCCTGAGAAAGGAGGAAAGCATTACAGACCTTCCAGCACTGTGTAAGGTAAACAATCTGAACTGCAGGCTGGTGTCTGCGGATCCCTGTGTGCCTCCAGGCTCTCTGGAGGCCCTGGCTGCACGTTCAGACAGAACCCACAGGTGGGCTTAAATCACCCTTCTGACACAGAGGACGTGCTGGCTAAGCTGTCCTCTTGGTGAACATCTGCTGGCCAACATAGCCAACACGTGCTGGGCCCTTGGACAAGCCACCCTACCCCATGCCAACTGCTGTAGAAAGCAGCTGGCTCTCATCAAGCTCAGCTTCTCCCAGACTAGTGCCAGCCCAGCCCAAGCTTTCAGGACCCACCTCCCTCCCTAGCAGGTCATCACGATATGGGCACCATTACCTCAAAATTGCCCAGCAGAGCATGGCTGACAGTGGTGGTGGCCCAGGATGATGCAGAGGAACGGGTTCCTCTCCGGAGGCTGCTCCGGAGATGTCGCCTTGAGAGAGAGGAGAATATCAGCACGGGACTGAAGAACAGAGACCTGGGCCACACGTTCCTCAGAGTGCAGATCCCTCCCCAGTGGGAATGGGGGCAGGTCCCTCTCTCCTGCCCCTTTCCTCAGCGGAGGTTGAACTCATTTTCCTAACCCTGGAAGCAGTCTCCCTCCACTTCACAGCCAGGGCTCTTGTGGGTCTTGAAAGTCAACCCAACCTGGCCACCCCACTGGGATATAAGGTGCTGGTACCACTGTACTCGAGACCCTACAGTGAGGCCTCGCTGCCACGACACTCACGATTTGAGGCGCAGCCCGCTCTTCAGCCTCCTCCCGACTGTAGTGCAATCTGCAGAGCTCTGGAAAGGACATGAAACCAGGAACTGTATTAGGGCAGCAGCTGGGGATGTGCACCTCAGGAGATGCTACCACCCATTGCCCTGTCCCACAGTGGTCCCAGCAGATGAGACAAGTCCCTCTGAGGCTGAGCAGCACAAGACATCTGGGGCTAAAGGGCTGCCCAAATCCAGAGCTGGCTACAAGGGCAGGTCCTCACCCTCCCAAACTGGGCCTGTTGAGGAAAGCAATGGTAGTGCCTGAGCCAAGGGTACAGCACACAGCCTCCCACCCTGAAAACCAGGTCCTAAGGAATGGCAACAAATAAGACAAAGCTCCCTGGGCAGCCTGGGAAAAGTCCCATCCCCATGCAATCTGTGCAAAGTCTGGGCACAGGGTCATGCTGCCCACAGCCGGGCTCCTACAGCTGCAGGGCGGGGGCCTAAAGCCACATTGCTGTCTCCTTTTAAAGGCACCCCCTTTTCAGGGGTTTTCCTTTCTGGAAGCCACACAAAAGGCAGCACAGCACAAAGGGATGATGGAACTGGCTGGCATGACTGAGAAGGCATGACAAGGGAAGCTACTGGAGAGCCTCACTCTGCTGCTGGGGCAGCCAAGCTGGGGACAGTCACCAAAAAGGGCACGAGGGCAGGGATAGAGCTGTGTCCCATGCACGGTGCATTCCAGCTCTGAGAAGCAATCAGCCAAGGGTGCCTCTGCTTCTGCAGAGACAAGTGACAGCCTACATACTGCCTGTCCTAGGGCCAGCCACCAGCCACCGCCCTTCCCATGCCTGTGTTGTACCACTGGGACAATACGTAATGCCATGCCACTGTGGGCTACATGCCCAAAAAGAACAGCCCAGGACATTCCCTGCCTCCTCCTGCCCCTGCAGTGACACTCACCTTGGCTGTGGGAAGCAGGTGATTCCAGAAAGGGGCTCCCTTGGCGTCGGTGCTGCGGCAAGCTGTGGGCACTGGGTGGCATGGCAGGGCTCTCTTCTTCCTCACCAGCTGGGATAGGCTCTCATCCTCAGAGCAGGAGTCAGCCATAATCTCACCAGCCGGTAGCAACTTCCTTTTGGCTGGGCAGCTGCTGCTGCTGCTGTTCCCACAGGGTGTCTTTTCCTGGGAGCTCAGGTTGCTAGGCTCAGGGCTGAGTAACATCTGTGGGGCTAGAGGCTCCTTGCACCCATTAGCCACCACCGGCCATTCCTCTGCTTCGCCAGCCCCGCAGCGGTGAGCGGGGCTGCTGCCTGGCTTCTCTCCCCTCCCACCACAGTCCAGCTGGGGTTTTTGTGCAATATTGTGCAAATCAAGGTCAGGTAGGTTATGGTCACTCATTTGCTCCCCATTCTCCCAGCAGTCTGCAAGCTGATTCCCCGGTGGGACCGGGCAACTATCTCTTGTGTGCAAAGTACTGCAAGCAATGTGCTGTGGCCAGAAGGAGGAGGTATCTTGCGGCTTGTCCTCTCTATTGGCCTTAGGGCTGGGACTGCTCACACACCGGTGCTCCACCACCTGCAGCCCACTATGGGAGAAATGCTGGGCAGAGCCGCACAGAGAGAGCTCGTCCACCAGCAGACCATCCTCAAAAGTATCATCGTCCTCCAGGGCAGCCTGCCCCAAGCCCCCATCACGCTTGCTGTCCACCCCACCACCCCAGTGAGTTCGTTTGGGATCCCGCACCCCCTCTGGAGTTCGCTGCTCAGGGTAGCTCCTCTTGAGAGTCGGATGACTGCCTGCTCGTTGCTCCGTGCTCTCGGAGGAGCTGGAGAGATGGGAGAAGATGGAGACCTGGTAAACCTTCTGGCGCTTGATCTCTGTCTCGTTGTAGCCCATGAGGATGCCGTGGTGGGCACAGTGTTGTGAGGAAGGCTCCAAGGCTGCCTCTCCACTGGGTCGGGACAGGCTGGAGTCAGCGCTGCGCTCCGGGGGCAGGGACGTCTCTGTGTGGATGTGCCGCATGGAGCCTCACTTGGCTGGACTCCACGTGGAGTTGGAGTCAGGACAGCCCATGCAGCAGCAGGAAGGGGACAGTAAAGTGCCACAGGTGATGCCGAGAGGGCAGAAGCTAGACCTCTTGCTCAGGATGTCCAGGTGAGCCCCCCAGTATGGGGCTCTAGAAAGAGAAAGGAGTGAGGTCAGGCAAGATCATGGTCCTTGTCCAGCTTTCCAGCCCTGCTGGGAGACAGGCAGCTCTCCCCCGGGACGAAAGGAGGAATCAGCACAGTGTGGCTTCTCCAGAGAACCCTGTGGCATCACTGACCTGCAGGATCAGCACTTTTATCCCAGCATGGACACAAAGAGGATTCTCCAGCAGGGCTGGAGGCTATTGCAGACAAGTCTGTACAAGCAAGGAGAAGAGGGTCTGCCCTCTGCTGGGGACCTGACATTCTCGTACTGCTCTGAAGTGCAGCAGTAAGGCAGGTCAGACCAGTCCCAGGGACTCAGGACTGTGACCCCATCAAGCACCAGCAATCAAATCTGTGAGTCCTTGCCAAGAAAACCTGTGCCAGCCACATGCGCCGAAGGACGCGGGCTGTCTCAGGTTGCCAGCTCCACAGTAGGGATGGGAACCTGCCTGCGCAACCCAGTGGAATCTGAACAATTATCACAGCTAGCTAGCTCTGATAGCTTGGACCAGAGTCCTCAACCACATGGATGAGCAATTGAGCAGCACCAGGAGTAGCAGAGACCACCATGGACTCCTGCACCATCCATCCACCCCTGTACTACCCATAAGACCCATCCTTGCATGCCTGGAGGAGTCAACCACCTTCATGCTGCACAAGACCTTGATTTTATTTTCACTGTGTTTCAGATGTGGCCATGAGCTGTCTGAATTGATAAACCCTGAAATGTCTGCAAGAGACAAAGAGATGAGAAGTCTGCATAAAAATCAGTGGCGTGCCAAGGAGCTCCATCGCCTAACGCAGCCTAAAAACAGCCCATACCTGGCAGCTTTGCCCTTTGCCTGTCTCCACAGCTGCCTCTGCTCCTTTGGAGCAAAGGCTTAGGGGCAGGCACGCAAGAGAAGTAATTCTTCGAGCAGGTCAAGGCCATACGGAGACATTTTGACTCCGACTGTGGTATTTTGACTCCGACTGTGATACTGAAGGAAAGGTGCCAGACCGGGGTGGTTGAGCCCAGGAAATTTCTTTTAAGAGAAACAATGAGAACACGCACCAGTACATGCTGGGGCCAATCGCCCGGAAAACAGCTTTACAGAAAGTGCCCTCAGATATCCTGGTGGACTCCAAGTTGCCTATGATCCAATGGTGCACCCTTGCCACAGAGAAGGACTGTAACTCCTTCCCTCTGCCCACAACTGGTGAGGCCGCTCCTGAGATCCAGGAAACGGCCACAAAGATCATTAAGAGAGTAGGGCACCTCTCCTATGAAGAAAGGCTGAGAGCTGTAACTATTCAGCCTGGAGAGAAGGTTCAGAGGGGATCTCATCAATACCTATAAGAACTTGAAGGGATGGTGCGAAGAGGACGGTGCTCTTTCTGTTGGCATCCAGTGACAGGACAAAAGGCAGTGGGTGCAACTGAAGTACATCAGGCTCTGTCTGAACACCAGGAAGTTTTTTTTATTGTGAAGGTGAAGATGTAGATCCTTGAAGATCTATAAAAGCTGCCTGGACATAGGTCGAAGGCAACATGCTCTGTGTGTCCCTACCTGAACTGGGGTTAGCCCAGATGGACACTGACCTCAGCCACTCCATGATGGCCCCCACTCCAGCCTGTCCTGTGTGCCCCCACACTCACCTCTCTGCAGCAGAATCCCACTCCACTCCGGATCAATCTCCCCGTCCCACAGTGGGCGGTCGTTGGCACAACTAGCTGAAGACACTTGCCAGCCAGGCACCCCCCAGAAGCGGCGTGGCTGCCGTGGAATGGCTCCCACCATCACGGTGTGCCTCCAAACCTCTGCAACGTCCTCTCCAGCTCTTTAGTCTTCACAGCAGCTCTGAGGGGAAAGAAAAAAGGGGGAGATGCAGGGCTAGCGTGATATAGATGCTCACCAGGAAGAGAAGGACAGAAGAATATTGCTGGCCTGAAGGGTCACACAAGTGGAGATGGCAGTCTTGAGGTCCAGCCTCTCCCCAATGTCAAATAAATCTACAGATCATGTAAGGCAGTACTTTCACCTTATTCTCCCTTTAAATAATAAATATTTTAAACTAAGCTGTGAACTCTCACACCTTGCTTGTGCTTTACAGTCTTTACTTGCTTTCCTGTATGAAACCCTGTGTATATGAAGAGATCTCTACTTCAGTGAGGCTAAACAAGGCTAAGTGCAAGCTGTTGCACATGGATCAGCACAATCCCACATACGTGCACGGACTGGAAGAACTCCTTGAGAGCAACCTCGCAGAGAAGGACTTGGGGATTCCGGTGGACAGAAAAGCTGTATATGAGGTAGCAGTGCATGCCTACAATCGAAAAGGCCAACAGTACTGTGGGCTGCATTAACAGAGGGGAGCAGGGAGAGGGAGGGGACTGTCCCCTCCTGCTCTGCTCACGAGGCCCCATCTGCTGTATGCGTCCAGGTCTGGGGCCCTCAGCATAGGAGTGAGCTGTTGGAGCAGGTCCAAACTAGAGCATGGAAATAATCAGTCTACTGCAACATCTCTGCTACGAAGAAAGGTTTTGGGAGCTGGGCTTGCCCAGCCTGCAGAATAGAAAGCTCTGCAGAGACCTCCTTGCAGCTCTTCGGTATGTAAATGGACCTGATGACCAGAAAGGAGACCAATTTTTTACACAGACTGATAGTGATAGGGTAATGGAGAGTGGTTTTAATTTAAAAGAGGGGAGATTTATATTAGATGCTATAAAGCACTGCGGCACTTCAGAGCAGTGAGCTCTCAAGAACAGCTGTGGGTGGCCCCATCCCTGAAGGCACTCCAGGCCGGATAGGATGAAGCCTTGGGCAGCCCCCCAGTGGGTGGGAGACAACCAGCCCATGGCAGGGACTGGGACTGGGTGGGCTTTAAGGTTGCTTCCAACCCAAGCCATTCTCTGATTCTACAATGATTCTATGATTAATTTTGGTGATCATTTCATAACTTGTTTTCCAAGACACTGCAGTCACCAGAAACCTGTGGGCTTCCAGCTAGTTGCTGATCTCATGTCCATCCACACTTTCATCCACCATGCAGGACATTTTCTGGCCATACAAAGAAAAATACTTGCAATTACTTTCCTCCAGCCAGAGATGCCTGTCAGGAAAGGGAGAAACAGGAGCCTGACTGCCCTAAGACTGGAGGTTGGTTCCTCACAAGTGTTCTGTGGAGCACAGACAGCAATCTCTTCACACAGCACTCACCTGCTCAGAGGCACCCTTTATGTACGGAGATTTGCAGATAAGCGCAGCTCCCTTGTGGTTGTAAACCACTCGCACTGCAGCTTTGATGCCTGGAAGAGGGCAAGGAGGAGAATCAATCTGAGCAGCAGCTCATGGTCAACACTTTCACAGCAGGCAGGAGACCTTGGGCAATTCCACCCTCAGCTCCTCTGCCACAGGACTTCTTGGAAGCTCTGCAGTTCCAGGAATCTCTGGGTGAAGGAGAAGGCGCTGCCCATCACTGGGGACTGTGCGCATCTCTCCCCAACACAGCCTCAGTTGGAGGCTGTCTGGAAGGAAGCTGCTACTGTCCTATTGGACATCTTGACCACAAGCACAAGTCCCAGAGCCTGGAAACAGCAGGGCCAAGCAGATGAACAAAATCCCAGCAGGGATGCTCAAAGGCACCAAATACACAAGTGCACCCCTTTCTAACACTCTGGTCCATCAGATCCTATATCAGTGCAAGGAGCATGTTGCCTGACCTAGTCTGCCTCAGAAAAGATTCTGTTCCCTCATTATATTTCTGGTAACATTTGCAATTAGTCCCAGTTCTCAAGTGAGGCCAGCCCAAAAGCCACTTCCAACAGAGCCAGGGGAGGGGCACCCCCAGTGAGCAGCCAGAACTGAGATGCAACATGTCAGCTCCCACGGAGCACTCAAACACGGCGAATCAGCACTGCAGCATAACAACCTCCTGGTCTAAAGCCTCAACAAAAGCTCTTTGTAAAGCTCAGCCCCTCCTGGCATTCTGCAGGAGGGAAGGCAGGTGGATGTCTGCAGCCATGGGAAGATGCCATACTGCTGACACACCGTGCTCGGCTCGTCTAGAACAGGGAAAGCTCCAAAATCAGGTAACTGCTTCCCTTTTCCACCTCCAGGGCAGATCTGCACCATGACTTCCATGGCATGGTCAGCTACTGGGAAGCAAAATCAGCAAAAGTCGGCAACAGTCAGCATGGGGCGGTGAGCAGAAGCCACATCCTTCCTTTACGTGTCCATGCAGGATAATGTGCAGGTGCAGCCTTTGCTCTTTCCTTCTCTGTCCCACGCCCTTCTATAGTCACAGCCCTTCCCAAATCCTTATGTAGGCAGACTGAGCCCTTTGCTCCCCAGCGGCAGCTGCCTCACAGGAAAGTCTGACATCACAAACTCACCCCAAATGAAGTCTCTATGCCAGTCCCCAAGGGATGCCAGCACTGGGCAGTAGTGCATGCACCTAGCACAAGGGGCTGCACCTCACCCTGCCGATCCAGGTGCCACTGTCCAAAGAATCATGTGGGGAAATACCAGAATTCCACAACCTGCCTCAGAAAGTCCAAACACAGAGACTCCAAATACCTGCAGCCACAACAGGGATTCCAGAGCCCCACTTCTGGAGGTCTGGATGGGATAGCACCAGGTCTGAGTCCTCACTGCCCCACTGAACAGTATGGGTGCCAACTCCTGGATGCAGCACATGAGACTCCCTGTGTCCAAGCCAGAGATCCAGCCCCTCCCACACCCAAGCAGCTGTGATTTTGCTGATGTTACACCCCACACTGGTTCTCTGAAATAGGACTGACTAGGCTTTGCCTGCAGGGCAAAGCTTGGCAAGAGCTTCTCCTGTTCACAATGAGCTTCCAGGCCAGTTGGAGGAGATGCCCCACCTGTCCCAGCCCAGCACACAGAAAAACAGGATGGCTGCTGCCAGTGCACAGGCAGAGTTCTGTATCAATCACATATTGAAGGAGGAGAAATTCCCCCCGCAGCGCCACCAGGGTCACACTCCAGCTGTGGTTTTGCAGGGCTCTCCCAGCAGCTGGATCCAGAGCTTTCCCCTCTTCTTCTAGCCTGGCTAATCCTGGGGAAAGGCACGAGACTTTGCCAGCTGTAGGACACATTGTGCTAAAGAACCTGCAGGGAAGGGGGCACATTCCAGATGCTGGGAAAGAGAGCCTGTGTTCCCTGGGGACACCAAGCCAGCAGACCATGACGCAGGATGACACAGCCAGGTCTGGGGGGTCAGGGACATGGCTTACCTGCTGCTTTCATTCCTATTAGCCCATCCAGGGGGAACACAGGATAAACAAACCGTGGACTCAATCTGCTGGCAACAGAACAGGATGGCAGGAGAGGAAGGGTCCCCGGCTGGGCAATGCAGCAGCTGTACTGCATGCTGGGATGCAGCCTGCAAAAGGATCTGCTGCTGTTTTAACTGTTCTGCACCACACACAGGGTGGGCCAGAAAGGAAGTGAGGAGATTGGAAGTAGCTCTGCCAGAGTGGGGAGAGAAAATCTGCAAAGGAGCAGCCCTGGGATAGAGAAAGTTCACCCAACGGAACTCACAGGGCTTTGCAGAGGGCAGGTGGCCATATCTGAGCATCACTGCCTGAGACAGAGCACCATGACTGTGAACTGGTGGGGATGAGAGGGCTCCTTGCACCTTTCACACAACAAAAAATCAGAAAAGCAACCTCAAACTGGCTTTTATCTTGCTCCCTCTTCTGGGCAGTGCTAAGGAAACCTTTGCAGCATCACTGGGAATGAAACAGAATCCAAGCAGTACAGGAGAGGGGTTGCTGTTACAGGGAAGCACAGAATAATCCTCAGTACAGAACACAAGGCAAGAGAAAAGGCAGTGGAAAACTGCTAAAGAGTGACTGCCTGGAGGATAAACCATAACTCTGTTAGTCCTATCTGAAAAAAAAAAGGAAGGAAACCTAACCACGGAAAGCATAAGGCCACAAAGCTCCCTGCGCAGGCTGAGAGCAGGGCTTGAGAAGCAGAAAGTTTCCCTGTAGGACAGCAGCACAGCAGCAATACAGACATCAGAGAATGGCTTCTTCATGGCCTCTGTGAGATTGGGTATGCCACCATCAGGAGAGACACAGACAGGTGACGCTGGGGACACTTCCAGCACCATCCCTGGGAGAGGCGGTAATGGGAGAGAAGGCAGTGAGAGGGACGTGATGGAGCAAACAGCACTTGAAGGGCTGAGTGGGGTGGAGGTGGCTGTGACACTCCCCTGGGCTTCAGGCTGGGGAGGAAGAAGCTCACAAAATGGGAAGCAGGGAGAGGAGAGGAGTGAGGATGCAAAGGGAAGGAGTATCCCACCGCAAGGGCAAGCCCTGCTCTCGGGGCTCTGAGGGAGGCCTGCTGCCATGCCAGATTTATACAGCTGCAGTGCCTCACTTGGTGCTGGCCCCTGTGCAGATAACAGAAAGGAAGCTCAGGGGCTGGACAAAGATGGGGCAAGAGGTAGCGCCCACATTAAGCTTCTGAAAACCACCGGGAACAAACCCTGTTCCTCCCTCTGCCACCATCCCAGCAGATCCCAGAAGGGTCAGAGACCCCTACGTGCTTGGATACTCCCAGTCCCCACCATGAGCTAGGGTTTGCCTCAGAGCGCTTTCCAAACCCCAGCTCCA